TAAATAAGTGCAATAAATAAATAACTAAATATTTACATAATTGCAGTGCAAAAAATCGCTAGGAAATTTCAATTTACTTTACCTCAATTTATTCGAACTCGCAAACGTTTTAAATATTCCAAATAAAAAAATAAAAAATTTAAAATCAAAAATATTAATACAAAGTAATCCAGAATTTCTTTGATCTTAATACTTTAAAAACATTACACATTATAACATTCAAATACTCTTAAATAAAAATGTCGAACTTTTGTTCCAATGAAATTTATTTTCGCTTTTGACTCACTTTTATACTTTATAAGGCAGGAATTTACCTTTTCAATGACGGACACAATTATTGGCACAGCAAGCATATTAAATTTAAGCACTGTTTTTACCCCGTTAATAATAAGAGTTTTAATTAACAAACATATTTTTGTATAATATATTTTATTTGCAATCAAATTCATTCATTTTAATATATTATCTGTTATATTTAATTTATTAAAACTAGGAAAATAAAAAAATATACTAAATTAGGCTGAAGAAAATTATTGGCACAGTTATAGTATATTCACACTGTCTCATTTAGACGGCTTTGCTCAATATATAATCACTAACAAGCATGAAAATGGAAAACACGAAATGCAGAATCACCGAGGATCAAGACGAGTATTCTGATTTCATTAATCACCCAACTTTTGTCCTCTAGAGAATGCAATTTTCTAACTGTCGCTTTAGTGATGAGTTTTCAAAAATGAAAAAGTCATTGACTCTTCCAGGATACCCAACAATTATATAAAAAAACGGTAACTGTAAATAAACAGTAAATTTCATTGTTTATTTACGCATAAATTACTTAGCTATTATCTATAAGGACAAACAAAACGATCGAGTATCACCCTTTGTAGTTGTCATAGTCAACAGCATTCTGAGATTCTGGTTTTATTTTAATGTAGCTTCCATCTTTAATATTGTTTACAATTAATATGTTTCAGTAATAATAAATTAAAAACTTACCCATTGCACCTAAGCATTGCGGAAAACCAAGAACCTCAAATCTTCTGATGCATTCATTTACCTTGTCACTTATTAATGGGAATGCATTACACAATATTTTATACAACACCGCTATTTTTCTTTGTGTTTTGTTTGTAAACAAAAGAAAATTCTTTTATAGCTTTTTTGATTATAAAAGTTCTTAAAGCTATATAAATGAGATCATTATAATTTGAACGCGTCCTTATTTATATAAATAAGCAAGTACCTAAATGAGACAGTGCAAACATAGTATTAAATTTTAACGAACGTTTTTAACATAATTTCATCGATCTGACAACTTTTTTCTGGAAAAGACCTGTTATTTTTACATTATAAATGACGTGGGGGTTTGTTTCTTAGCTGAAAACATCATAATGCTTATAATATTTGTAAGGATGGAAATTTTGTGTAAATTTCCTAATTACATACAATCATTATTATTGGCGAATTATTTGAAAGAGATAAAGTGCATTAAAATTTACATCGAAATAATAAATATGAATTCTTACCTGGAACCATCTCCCATAAAAATAATTTATTAAATGCAATTTTCATCTAGTAAATTTGAAAAATAATAAATACCTCAGCATCACGTTTGTACGCACATCACTAAATCTTTACAGAGCGTCAAAACATTTACAAAACGTCAAAAACGACAAAAAGAATTCACCGCAGAGAATTGATCACATCCCAAAAAGAATTGAGATCTAAGTCTCCTTTGAGCTTCCTTAAATAAGTTTTCCGCTGAAGGGGACCTACATTTTTGCTATTCGCGCCTTAACCTACGTTTTTGTAAAACTAGATTTCCTATGCCACTATTTGCAAGTACTTTATTGGGTATGCAAATTTTATTGTCTTTAGGGATTGAGTTTTCTGCTACAGCAAACAAAATTGAGTTTAACACCGAGATTGCGTCATTAATATGAGACTTGCACTTTATTTTGTGGTTTGTTGTATGTATGAACTAATCTACTTCTTATATTTGAGCTAGTTTGTTCTAGGACTTGTTAGGCTATAGGAACAGTCATGTAACTGAGGACCATCAAGTAAACAAAATGTAACTGGAGAATTGTCAGAAGACAAATCGCAGCTAGTATATGTTGAGATAAAATTTCTGCACATGCCTTTGGTCACGGCGAAGTCTATTAGGTCTGGTATTTTGTTGTTTCGGCAGGCCAATATGTTGGCTGCCCAAGAGAAAATACATCTAGTACATTTTTTAATTTAGAATGGAATTGTAAAGCTGTTTACCTTTTGGATTACAGAGCCGTGAACCCCAATACGTATCCTTGGCGTTGTAATCTCCTGCTGCAAGAAATCTGTCACCCAAAATTAAGAAGTAATTCGTAAATTGGATCTCAGTAATGTTGAAGCGAGAGGGGCAGTAAAGTCGCGATAAAGTAAAATTTTTTTCCTTTGTGCTTAAGGCATGTTGATGTAGCTTGCATATAATTATGAGCATATGTACCTAGGAAATTGTGTTTTAGACGCCTTCGTATCAAAATACTTGTACCACCATGTGTTTTGCCATCTGGGTGATTGGTTTTATAGAACAAATAACCAGGAATAGAAAAAAAATTTTTGTTTGTTAGATGTGTTTCTCAACGAAGCATTACATCCACATTTTCTCGGGTGATGAAGTTTGTGAGTTCAAGTTTATGTTGGCTTAAGCCGTTTGCATTCCATGTACAAATTTTTAAAGTACTCATTTATTAGACAAGAACATTTGCATTAATTGGCTTTGCATTTTAACTATCTCGTTAAGAGTAGTTTGCATGATTGACATAAACTGAGTTAAGCTCTAGATGAGAGTGGAGATCATCATTTCCAAACTATTACTTTAAACTGGAGGAGCAGGTTGCTTTTCAGATTTAACGACATTAGCATATGAAACACTTGGTGTTAAAGGCTTAGAATTTAAAAGTTGGGGTACTTCAACTAATTTGATGGGGTTTCTTCTTGCAGGATTACGCAACGTTTCATTTTGCAGAGCTAACCTGTGCTTCAGTTCTTTATAAATAGGAGAGTCTCTGAAGTTTGCGGTGTGATTTCCACTGCAGTTGCTACATTTTTTGGAGTTAGAATCCTTTAATGCCTTTTTATCGCATTCGGAACTACGGTGAAGCTCGCAACATGTTACGAACACTGAGCGCAGAGTACAATATGACTTAGTGTGGCCATACTCTTGGCAGTTTTCGCATTGCACCGGACCATTTCGCTTGTGGGGTTCCTCGACATTAATTTTGCGGTGAAGTAAGTTTGCAGGTTATAGATGCGATGGCTTTCATTTTTTTAAGCTTTAAGCTTCCGGGTAAAGTTCAACTTTAAACATACGTTATGAGATTTTATTTTGATTAACTATAGCGTTAAAGATTTTTCGCTTAGGGCATTTGTGATTTCAATGGGTTCTACATCTGACCCAATGGCTTTGATAACGACAACAAGGCCTTTACTACTCTTCGGTTGGTATGTGTTGTAATTTTCTTGCTGCAATCGAAATATTTAGATATAACCCTGAAATTATTTTCAGTGTCAATTTGTATCTTAGTTTCTTGTATATTGCCCCTGGTTATAGGAACAATATGAAAAGTATTGCTACCAATCAGACGTGCTAGAAGTGTAACAAGCGTATTTGAACAGCGTTCACACAGGTAAACTGGAGGGGGTTTAAACTTTTTGGTAGTAGGTTGATTAGCTTCCTCTGTAGATTTAGCTAGTTCAGCAAATCTATTGCAACTTTTTATTTTTTAGATTTAATTGCTGATATGCTGGCTCTGTCAGCTATTTGAACATTTAAGATTAAGTAGTGCAAAAAGAAAATAAACAAAAACCCGAAAAAGTGCGCTCTATTTTCAAATTAATATTTTATGCACTTTTCACTTTTGGAATTGTTTTTTATCGATAATTGTATTATTTTTGTGTTTTTATATTAATTACAAAAGTGGTTTTTACAAGAATACTTGATTTAATAGTTTGAAGACTGTAAATTTTAAATTTTTCGGAGACCGGCTTGAAAACACGACCGCTCACTAGAAATGTTGTATTGACTGTCTCTGTCACTGTTTTTTCTCTATATTATAATTTTACATTTCATTACTTTATTGATATTGCTGAATATTGATTGTATTTCCACATAGCGGAAATAATCGGCAGAAAATATTTTAATGAATTTATGTTATTAATAATGTTATTAAAATGGTTAATTAAAATTATAATATTAAAATTAATTATTTTATAATATCAGTAATATCTTATATATTGATGAATTAAAGAGAAATATTTAAATTAAATAATAATAAAAAACACAATTTTAAAATATATAATATAAAAATATTAAGATGTGCAATATAATAGATATCAGTTATAAATAAAAGTATTTGACTGAAAATGTTTTTAATTATTTTACTATAAAAATATTTGCGTGAAAAAATAATATAGAAATTCACTGCACTTGTGGACAAGCAACCACCGGTTGGAACTTTTGATGTTTACAGTTGTTGATTCATTTTCTTACAATATAATTAAAATAATAAAATATGAAAATATTTTGCATATATAAAAAGCAATTAGTTTTTTTTTCATTTTTAATTTAAACATATGTAATGTCAGTAACAATATCTGTCATCAATTTTAAATAAAATAATTTCGCGATTATTTTACGTGTACATTTTAAAAATATTTTGTTTACATGTAAACAAAATCAGTTGCATAATCAGTGTTAATTTAGAGCGAAATTTTCATTTCGTTTCTCCTTAATTTCTTACGCTATCTACCGCCTAAAGGTTCAGTTAGACGGTAGTTAACGTAAGATGTTAAGAAGAAACGAAATGAAAATTTCGCTTTAAGTTAGGGCGGTGTTAGACGGTAAGTAAGCAGCTGACTTTGTTTACATTGGAACATGCAAATGAAATATTTTCAAAAGTTCCAGTCGGTAGTTGAAATAATTAACAATAGTTTAAGTAAATTATTAACAAATATGTATAATCAAAATGAATTGACTGTGCAAGCTTGTAATTTGTTTCTAAACATATTGCGCTTGTACAGCATGAGAAATCAAATGCGCAATAGAAGGTGGCGAGTTCGTCCTATTAATGTGGATCGTGCTCTACATGGCTATTACCGAAAAACCTTTTTAGCCATAAAAGAAAAAGATAACGAAGAATTTTTTAGTCATACACGGATGTCTAAAGAATTATATACTTTATTATTGAAGTTAATAGCTCCTTCTGCGACAAAATGTGGGCAGCAAATAAATGCTGATGAACGTTTATCACTTACTCTTTTGTAAGTTACATGTACTGTTTTATTAGTAATTTTAGTAAAAATAACACGAACATTTTTTAAAGGTATTTGGCACATGGCGTCCCTTTACAGAGTTTAGCATGGAGCTATAAATTGGGAAGAACTACAGTTAGAAACACCGTGTTGGAAATGTGTGATATTGTGTGATAAATGTCCTCGGGGATCAGGTTCCCAACTCCAACCGGTAGTTGCTTGTTCTCAAGTGTAGTGAATTTCTATGTTTCTATATATATTTTTTGTACGAATGTACTTTCAAAGTAAAACAAATAAAAACATTTTTAGTGAAATATTTTTATATATAACTAATGTTTTAATATTATTTATTATTATTAAATAAGTATTTCTCTTCAATATTTATTATACCATAAATTAAATTCTTTCTACTGATTATTGATCAATATATAAGATATTAATTATTGATATTATAAAATAAATAATATTAACTATTATAAAATACAATTACCTATTGTAAAAATGTTAATAAAATAAATTTATTAAAATATTTTCTGCTGATTATTTTTGCTATATAGAAATACAATCAATATTCAGCAATATTAATAAAATAATTATATAAAAAAATATAATATAAAAAAAAAATTTATTAATAATCACATTCATAATCACAATATTTTTTCGTCTACTCTCGTTATAGTAAACATATCCCGCACATAATTGCAACGCATCCACCCTCATCAAGGTTTTGCGAGCAACTGAGCACAGTTTTTAAAATCGCTTAACGTCAAAACCTAATTGAATTTGATTTTTCTATAAGTTCGCCACATATGTTTATTTCGTTCCTATCAAATACACAGGTTTGGTTGTTTGTGCATTTCGCTTTGACTTAACTTCTTACGTTAACTACCGTCTAACTCCACCTTAACTCAGCCTTTACGCACATCATTAGCTTAGCCAGTGCAGATGCTGGGTTAATATTTGATTCTATATCATGTTGTTCCTTCAACAACAATAATATTTTAGTTGGAACTGTTACGTTATGCAATAAGAAAATTAACCTATTTCGGGGTTGCAACAGATGTGTGAGTGTAATTTTGTTGCTAGTGTAATGCTAAAATATTTATAATACTTAGTTTTCCATATTTTTCGTTTTGTTGAAATACCAAATACATATAATTTTAATATTAAAAGAATTAATCGTAAAAATTGTCGCATATGTTATTCGTTTGAACGTCATGTATTCTGTGGCTAAAAATCCAAGCAAAATTGTTGCAAAAACAAGAGGTAAACATTACAAATATTCAAATCTATATAATATGCTGGTTCATAATAATGTGTTTTGATTTTTGGGAAATATGTAATTATCACGTTACAATTGTGATAGCATATAAGAAATGTTGGAGAATTAATGCAGATTTAAGTTTTAAAGCTTAAACTAAGTTTGGAGATATATACTATCAGGAACAAAAATTTAACTACACCCTCATAAAATTTGTAAGTATGCAGTTTTATTTGATTTCATAAATTAATCAAAACAAAAAATATATTTATATTTACACTAAAAGGAGTTCTCAAGAAAGCCTAATCTCAAATAACGGCATTAGAAACTGAAAATGTAGTCCTTTCCATGCCACGTCGTCTGCAAGCAGTCATAGTAACTCATAGCCGTCCAACAAAATATTTAAGTATTATATTTTGTTGAAAAGTTTGTCAATTTCTTTGGATTACATACAATTTTGATGTGTATTTAAACTTTTGTCCTCATCATTTTTTCGTTTTTATTAAATTAACCGTTATGCTTGCAACCAAGTAAATATTTTTTGTTGTTATTTATAATAATTTATGAAATCAAATAAAACTGCGTACTTACAATTTCAGTGACATGTTTATTTTTCTTTAAATTCTAAATTTTAAGGGTGTATTTAAACTTTTATCCCTGTTTGTTTATCATATCTTAGAATTAGTAAATTTTATTAATATGGAGGGATGCGTTTCGCTTATATACAGATATTGTAATTTGAAATTGAATTACAGTTTGTCTCAAAAAGCTAGACAAAACTAAAATTTCTTCACATTTTCGACTTCAACAGTTAATAGCAATAAGGCGGTGATATTTTTTGTCAATATTTTTTTTTTTGTTATCATTCTATTAATATTTTCGAACCAGAATATATTCAGAGAAAATTCATTCTTAACAATTTACAGTCATGAAAAAAATAAAATAAAACATCAAAATACTTACTGTCTCAAAAAGAACGGCAAAATTTTTGCAACATTGAAAAGCCAAAGTAATTGACGCCAAATCTAAATCGAACTATTTTGTGCTAATATTTAATTTGGAGAATATTAAACTAATAGAGTTAATTATAATAGAGTTTATTACTAATAGAGTTCATTATTTTGTTAAGAAAACAGTATTATTAAATATAGGTAGAGAAAATATAAATGAAAATATTATTTAGCTAATGTACTACCATTACCACAATGAGAAGTCCGCCAAACTTTGTATTTAGACTTTTTAATGAATTGTAAACAAATTAGAATATATTCCTTTTAGATTTCTGTCTTGGTTTTGTTTATTCTCTATATTATGTGATTCCACTGCATATCTTTTTCTTTGTTTTAATTTAGTTAATTTTATTATTAGTTATTAGGTATTAGATAACTACACAAATAAATAAAAAGTGTTTTTAGTGGCTCGCAAGTATGGCAAAAAACGTTTACAAAACTTATTTTGCAGTTATTTTAATAACTAATGAAGTGTTCCATGGCAATCGAAATTTATTTGACTTTAAATAACATAGTATTATTATAATCATTAGTTGATAAATTTTTCTCCATATATTATTTGAGTTAGTTTTAAGTCATTTATTTAATTATATTACTTTTAAGTTCATTGAATAAGTCATAAGGAAAATGTGTATGACTATCTTTTTTAATTATGAAAAATATTAAGAAAATACAACACAATAGATAGATAATATAATTAATAAAAGGATATATATTCATTGTTTTTCAAGACATTTGGTAATTTTCATATTTTTGTAGGTTCAATGTTATTAATATTTTAAATATATTTTTTAATGGCATGATTTAACAAATTAAATTTAGGTTAATAATAAATTGTTATTACGACCAACTTTTAGTTCCATTTTTTATTATTTTTGGGTTTAGGTCGTTAGTTTAACGATGTTCATATTTAGATGTTTTTTCAAATAAAAAATTACTTATTATCATCACATAAATTTAGTTGGATATTTAATTGTATTTTAATTTTTTATAAAAATTTTTATATTAAATTTATATTTCTTTCTAATTTATACGTGTAATTTTAATAATAATAAATAATAAATATATTAATAATAAAACAATAAATGTAATCATAAAACCACGTATTAAAGTTATGTTACAATTAATTCTACTCTTTTGAGTTTATATATAATTTGTAAGGTAAAAATTTATATAACCACGCAAAAATATGCTTTTAAATGACAAAGTTTTTGGGTGAAAATTTCGTGAGCACGATTGTCATTCATGCATTTTCTCTCTTGAAAGACACTCAAAAATAATAGTTTGTACCGCGCTTAAGACTGTATACTTACATATTTTCTTTTTATGATTTTATTTATTGAAAGAGTAGACGTGAAAATTGCACGTCTACTCTTTTGTATGACCACAGTCAAGACAACCCTTGTTCGTGTGGAGTTTTAGTCGAAGCGCACTAAGCGCAGCCGTAGATTGAATGTGTATGTGCAGAGGTGTCAATCCAAGTATAGCCTCAAGTGCTGCAGTTGGACTTGTCCTCATAGCACCAGTCATTAAGAGACACGCTAATCTCTGGAGCTTCATGCAAACAGCAATAGATCCAGCCTGTGTGACTTTTTGCCACCAAACCAGGCAACCATATGTCATGATAGGACGTACTACTGCCTGATATATCCAAAATATAATCTTTGGGTTTACGCCCCAAGTTTTACCTATACAGGACCGTGTTGTCCATAAAGCCCTTAATGCTTTGTTATATACTTTATTTAAGTGTGAACTCCAAGTGAGTTTACCATCTAGGACAACACCTAGGTACTTTGTTTCACTGGAGAGAAATATTAGTGTTTCCTAAAAGTACGGGACCTATGTCTAGTTTACGTTTGAGTGTGAAAACGTAAATGTCTCCACGCTAAAATGCCTCGAAGGTGTCCTACCAAGATCTTTGATAGACTGCTACCATGTTTTCCCGATGCTATTATAACTAGATCGTCTGCATACCCAATGGCGTCACAACCAATATTTTCCAATAAGATTAAAAGTTCATCAACAACCACTGACCAGAGCAAAGGAGACAGTACTCCACCCTATGGGCAACCTTTTGCGGCCTCAACAGCTACAGACGTTCTACGTAAGGTTGATGTAATTTTTCTGTTTTGAAGCATCGCCTCAATGCAGGAAATAACATTAAAATCAACATTTCTGTTAGTTAAGGCATTTGAGATCGAGCCATAACTCGTATTGTCGAATGCTCCTTCAATATCCAGAAATGCACAAAGCTCAATTTCTTTGTTTTTGTGGGCCCTTTTTAATTTTCCTAACCAAGTCTGTAAGGCCAATTCGGTAGATTTCCCTTTGGAATAAGCGAATTCAGTTTTGTGAAGAGGTTGACTTTTAGACAATTCTGTACGAACGTCTATGAGTCTTTCCATAGTTTTCAGGAGGAAGGATGAGAGACTAATCGGTCTATACGATTTAGCGTCATCACTTGGTTTATTACCATTTTTTGGTATAAATACCACTTTCACTTCTCTCCAAGCTTCAGGTATATGCTTCCAGCATAGGCTTGCCCTAAAAAGCACCTTTAAAGGATTGATAAGAACGTCTATGCCATATTGTATAAGTGCCGGGAAGATACCATCACTTCCTGGTGACTTGAAGGGACTGAAAGAATTAACTGCCCATCTGATTTTATCAATGTCAAAAATGATACCAGATAGCGACCTTAATCGATTGTCTGGGTGTTCATAACTTAATGTGCGCCTATCTATGGATGCATCACATAAAAGTGCACATGTAGTAAATGTTGTAAAGTTTCCCTGCAATTTGTTGTGTAGAGACCATCACTCTTTTTCAATAGACCAATGTCATTTGAAAGAGACTTTCTCAACACTTTATGAAGGCGAGCCATTTGCGGAGTGTTGTCAACACTGTCACAGAAAGTTTTCCATGATTTCCGTTTAGATTTTCTAATATCATTGTTGTAGGCAGTCAAGGATGTTTTATAGTCTACCCACACCCCTGATCGCTTCGCTAAATTAAAAAGCTTCCTAACCTCCCTGCGCATTTCTTCGAGCCTGCTGTTCCACCATGGCACATCCCGTCTGGATGTACGTGGTTCAACCTTACATGCATCTTCATGCGCCTGAGAGATATCAGAGTTTATGTCATCTGCTGCTAATTCAAGTTCATCAATATGACTGATTGAATTCAGTAATTGATCCTCCTTACTAGCTAAGGATAGTCTAAAGACTTCCCAGTTGATACAATTACGTGCAGCTGGCGAATTTTTATGTAAAATCTGGCCTGGCAGTTCAAAAAGAATATGTTGGTGGTCAGTTAAAGAAACCTCCTTTGAGACCCTCCAATTATCAACATGATTGGAGATAAATTGACTAGAAAGAGTAAGGTCAGGAACCTCTCTTCTAATGGCATTAATAAAAGTGGGTTCAGAACAATTGTTCAATATGCTGATGTTATTACTACTAAAGTATTCTAAAAGCATTTGCCCTCTTCTATTCATGTTAGTGCTATCCCATAAGGTATGGTGCGCATTAGCGTCGTTCAATAATGTGTGTGACTAACTAATTAAAACACATTTTTTTGCCTAAATTCGTTTTTATTCATCAACATAGTCCCCTTTTAGGGAGATACAATCAATCAACGCTTTTGCAATCTTTCGATACCGCCTTTGTAAAACGATTTTTCTTTGCCTTCAAAATAGGCGTTCGTTTCGGCGATTACTTCATCATTTGAGCCAAATCTCTTACCACGGAGCATCTTTTTGAGGTCTGCGAAGAGCCAGTAGGGCTCTGGCTGGGGGCCAGATCTGGAGAATACGGTGGGTGCGGCAGCAATTCATAGCTCAATTCGTTCAATTTTGCCATCGTTTTCATCGACTTGTGACATGGTGCATTGTCTTGGTGGAACAAAACTCTTTCAAACGCTCCAATAACGCTATATAATAGTTGCTGTTGATGGTCTTCCCCTTCTGGAGATGGTAGATGAATATTATTCCATGC